CAGATAACACAGGAAGGTCACGAGTTTCGTATAATTCGTATGTAATGAGACCGAGTGTGGTATTTTATTTATTACCCACGTCTTACATGCATTAAATTGACAAAATAACGTAGTTTTGTTAATATTTTGGTTTCAAACCGAAACCGGTTTCATAAAGAGGTTGCGGAAGAGTTTTGTACTGTAGTACAATATTTGCATGACGTCACTGTAATGACGTCACTGCCTTGGTAACCGACGTCACGATGCATGTTAGTTGTCATCGCCTCGTACAGCCTCGTACAGTAAACTACTCCGTAGCACCCCGTTTCTTGGTTTGCAGTTGCTTCATTCGGCTAACATCACTGGTGGAAACATTGCGTTTACGTTTTTCGACGGGTATAATGTCTCAGTTCGACCCACAATTAAACAGCGACACGGCAACGTTCGCGATGTTTACATTCCCACAATGCATTTAGTTGTAGAATGAATGGATCCACGTGTTTGTTATGAATGAAAAAATTGTTACGTCAGAATGTGACCTAATTGAGAGGTCATCGGTTATCCAATGAAATCGTTAGAATCTCAGGTCAAGTCGTTACGACACAGGTCAACGCGATACGACACTCGTGTGACGTACGAGATTAGTATGCAACTACCCATACGTTGACCACGTGGGTAATAAATATATATATTTCCCAGAAGGTGCACTGGACATATTCTCACAGGCTCGGTGTGACGGTCACATGACGAACTTGAAGCTGAACACTTCCGCCCAGGACACGTTTTATTGCAGTTAGTGCCATACGTGCTGTTGCAAGCTGTAAAATATAGATAAGAAGAAAAATCTTCATTCGTAAATAAAGTTGAAAGGCATCTGATTTGTGAAGCATTCTAGGTGATCGGTTCAGCAAAGTGTATGAAACGAGTCAGTAGGTGATGTTGATGCACCACGTTACAAGCCCCTGAAAACTAACCCACAGTAAGACCTCCACAACGACTGCCCCTTGGTAATCATTCCTACTTATCATGACTAACCTGACGTCAGCGTCTACAATGGGCCGCGTATACCCTGGCGCGTATACGTATCTAAAGTCTACCGTATCATTTACTGGAAGCTATCAATACTGACAGTACAAACGTCTCACCTTTATCACATCTCTGTCCCTGCCACCCTGGTATACAGTCTCCAGGACACAGTCCAGTCAAGCGATCACAGGTCGAATCAAGGCAGTGACAGAACACATTACAGTTCATCCCGTAGACACCTGTACTGCAGGCTGGTGCATTGGCATAAGGAAATAGGAACAGTTGACGTCATTGAAAGAGGGTGAGAAAGGTGATATGGGGTATAATTGGGTGTAAGGTTCTGTTTAAAAAAAGAGTGTGATTGTTTGTCCAGAATAACAATACTTACGATATTTAAGCGTATGTTGATGTTACGCTACAAGGAGATCGAACCGCCGGCATTTCATTCCCTTCTTCGACTGTTAACCTAATATACCATAGAGGCATTTTGGAGGGCTAGGGACACGTAGAGAAGGGTGGATTGTGGAATTTAGATATATAACGTAGGTGATTAGGCATTATGGGGTAGTGAGTGCAATCGTTAACAAATGTTTTTATCATCACAGGCAAGTTAGAATGGCGTCATGTCTATCACAGCCTGTCTTTTACTAGAAGGTGTTTATAGAAGATATCAATATAGAATCCTAAATGGCTTTTCTGAATTCGGTACAAGAAGCATTTAATTGATATTATATGGGATCCCATTTAGTTACTTATTGTAGTGTATAGCTGTTTCAAACCTTGTTTACTCAAACTATTGAAATTCTAATCATCCGTTTATGAATATAGTTCAGCTGTTCAAAAGAATGCGTCCAGATGTTAAAGACTATGTAATATAAGTTTATTGATAATGAAAGAGTGACATATTCAGCGGGAAAGAACTGATAGAAATTATGAAACATGCAAGTTGAACACAACAAAGTGAAATAACCATTTTAAATTATCCAGTTTGATATAAATGAAAACATCCTGTCAACTCACTCTAAGATATGGTTGATAATTTTTACAAATGCTCAGAATTTATTCTGTAACTTGCAAACAAGGACTTTGCTGTTGAAGGACAATAAAAAACACTTGTATCACCAGGACACGAATAGACAAATTCTTGTAAATACAATGATGATTTACCATAGATTTCCACCTCACAGATGTTCAGTGTATCATTAAATCCTCCTGTCCCCGGGTTCCTGATGGTGACGTATCTGCCGGTGCCGTTACACTTCACGTCAGTTGGGTTGGGAGTATTTGATGACAATTACTTGTAAATACAGTAAATGACTTACCATAAATCTCCACCTCACAGATGTTGAGTGAATCATCGTGTACAGGCCCTGTCCCCGGGTTCCTGATGGTGACGTATCTGCCGGTTCCGTTACACGTCACGTCAGTTGGGTTGGGAGTATCTGGTGGACTCGGGAGGGTGGAGCAGATGCTGGAGGGGTCGTTGTTCAGATAGATGTTGGAGTTGGCATTTCTCCCGTAGACTTGAGTAAAACAAATACTGTTTCAGACTACGATGTACTATGATACTGTGTCAATATAGTTGCTGTCAGCGTATATATCTGATCATAACACTATGTTCATGCAACGGACTAATGACGTAATTGAGAGGTGACACTTCCAATCCAACAATATATGCATTAGATAAGAATATGTTTAGAGTGAGTGAGTTTAGGTTACGCCGCACTCAGCAATATTCCAGCTATATGGCGGCGGTCTGTAAATAATCGAGTCTGGACCAGACAATCCAGTGATCAACAGATTGAGCATCGATCTGCGCAATTGAAAACCGATGACATGTGTCAACCAAGTCAGCGAGCCTGACAACCCGATGCTGTTAGTCGCCTCTTACGACAAGCATGGGTTGCTGAAGATCAATTCTACCCCGGACCTACACGGGTCGAATATGTTTAGAATAATTACATCTAAACTCGTTCGTTTGCGAACGGTAACAGCACACCGAGGCTCAAGAATCATCTGGATGCACATGTTTGCACTAGATCGCCTCTCAATACGTGATTCCCTCACTGAACCAGATTATGCAGTCAACAGTAAAGATTCTTAGTCTCAAAGTTATTAATGCGTTATTCTAACAATGAGAGCCCTTATTTATGTTACTGAACTTCCCTTACATGAGCGGAATGGTCCTGTTTGCTTTCAATATGTAAACCAATTACAAAACAGAATAACAATAATAGAATTGATATAAATACGTCTAGGTATCACTCGTTGAGGTATGATGGGGTAGCACTGTTTTTGATATAAATACGTCTAGGTATCACTCGTTGAGGTTTGATGGGGTAGCACTGTTATTGATATAAATACGTCTAGGTATCACTCGTTGAGGCAACTGCTTGATGGGGTAGCACTGTTATTGATATAAATACGTCTAGGTATCACTCGTTGAGGTTTGATGGGGTAGCACTGTTATTGATATAAATACGTCTAGGTATCACTCGTTGAGGTATGATGGGGTAGCACTGTTATTGATATAAATACGTCTAGGTATCACTCGTTGAGGTATGATGGGGTAGCACTGTTATTGATATAAATACGTCTAGGTATCACTCGTTGAGGTATGATGGGGTAGCACTGTTATTGATATAAATACGTCTAGGTATCACTCGTTGAGGTATGATGGGGTAGCACTGTTATTGATATAAATACGTCTAGGTATCACTCGTTGAGGTATGATGGGGTAGCACTGTTATTGATATAGAATGATCACCAGCATAAAATGATTATATGCCTCATCAAATAAAGCAATACCAGCCTATTGCACATGTCTAGGTGTTCACCTCTCTATTGACCACCACATATTGCTTGTATAGAACATTGTGGCAGAGTGTTTACATAGGTTGATAGATATGTGTCAGCAGAACACTTGTTGAAGAATTACGTAATTGCTAAATTGTTACTTTTTCATGTGTTTGGTGTACTATAGTGAAAAACTAGACTTCAGTAATGTGTGTAAGTTGAGTCTAAGGTGATACATAACAATCTAAATAGCATCGTTCTCTCTTAGATCACGATGTCTGGATACCTACATTTATGTCTGCTGTAGATCCTGATGTCATACAGCTGGAAGTCCCGGCCCAGATCCACCGTCCAGTCTGACGGAGATCTAAAAGCGTGGAAACAGGTTCTACCCTCACCACGTATGTCACTGTCTCCGTCCACAGCCTTTGATGCGGGCCAGCCTCCGAACAATCCAGATGTTGTTGATGCTGTCTTGTTCAGTGCAATATTTTCTGTAAAGTACAATCATCATGTAACGTCACTGCCCCCATCTATACCCTGACAGGTACCAGTCTCCGTAACCCATGAAGATCCGGCCTAGAATTGATCTTCAGTAACCCATGCATGTCGTAAGCGGCGACTAGCGGGATCGGGGTTCAGGCTCGCTGACTTGGTTGACACGTGTCATCGTATCCCAATTGGGTAGATCGATGCTCATGCCGTTGATAACTGGGCTGTCTGGTCCAGTCTCAATTATTTACAGATCAGCGCGTGCGGCGTAAAACTAAACTCACTCACCAATCTCCGGGCACTCAAGATGTTGTTGATGCTCTCTACTTCTGTGCAATGTAAGACAATAATCGTCTCCTCACAAAATTCCATACATATCCCAGTATGTGCTAATGGTGAAAAGGTTAACATGGGTTTACATGTACATGTATGGTAATAGTCGGATTCTAGTTAATAGTATAATGTCAATCACAACCCTGCAGACTATCTGTTGTATTACAAATGTTATATATGGTGTGAGTTAAGGGATCATCATGCAGTTAATAATGATTTGTACCAAGACGCTGTTTTCACACCGACCAAAGCAGAATAGTAAACACATCAAAATCAAAGCCAGTGTATGTGTCACTCACGTTTCTGGCAAAGACCCCCTTCCTTTTTCCATCCCGGATCACAAGAACCAGAACAGGCACCTGTAGTCACATGATGTCCCGCAGTGACAGGAGTAGCTACAGGAGTCTCCAAACCTTCCTGGTTGACAGGAACCTGTGGGGAGACACAGAGATGTGCGAATCAATGACCAGGTACTAGTCTCTGACGATTACACGTCTGTTTATCATCAACTTGAGTGAGTGAGTGAGTCACTGAGTTAAGGATTTAAGGCACATCGGCAGTATTTCAGCCATATCGTGACTAAATCAAGTTATAGAAATAAAAAATTAAAGGTAAATCATACAAACAAGTCAACTAAGGACAGGAAAGCAACTTGATTATCACAGATATAAATTTTAAGACTAGTAATTACATTTAAACCATTTTAACTTCACATGACAAGACAATATATAAACAGACTATAGATTGCCAACAACTGAAGGTAGATCACCATACTAGGGACCATTATTCTGCTTCCTGCATGGACCCTAGCTGGATTTACATCATCCCTCAGATGTTAGCAATTGTAGGCCAGTCTAGCCATATCAACTTGAGTCCCTGCAATGATTGTGTACTGGACCATTTCAAGCTTTATCATTTGCATCATTTGTATGCCATCAAACTTTGAGTCCTTTTATCGCCCAACTTACAGCAAGAGCGATACTATCCCAATACCCTCAACAAGGAAGTGAAATACCTACAACGTAGACGTTTGATCACTAAATATGTATTAACCCCGCCCAATGTACCTCTTTGATGTGTTCAACTTTGGAACAAATATCGAGGAGAGATTCAGCTTCAGTGGGCTTCGGATGAGGAAGGAGAGCTACATTCGCAGCATCTCTTGGGTAAGCGAACCAGTATCAGTGACACAAACGAAACAAACTGTGTATTTACTTTATATTGTTTCATAACCTTTGCTTCAACAAAATGGTAGTTCAAGTGCATGTTTACCTCATGTGATCTGGCATGTGGGATGATCAGGGCCCCGAAATATAACTGCAATAACCAAGGGATAGGACAGGGACAGGACCTAGGAGTAGGGAGGACAGAGCCACAGGATGGGGGTGTTATGAAACTTGGGTAGGGATAATTGGACAGCAGGTTAGGGGTGTTAGGAGCCTGGTGTAAGGATAAGATGATCTGGGGACATTGGTGATAGGACCACACCGTAGGGGTATAATCACGCTTAGGCTGGCGTCCCAAAGTAGGGATAAGATGAGGAAGGAAAAGGGATAATAGGGCTCTGGGGTAGAACTGACAGAATCCAGATGTACACATGACAGGACCCGGGGATAAGTATGGCAGAAAGCTTGGTTTGGGCGGAGAGGCAAACCTGGGACAAGGCTCGGGCAAATTTAATGCATTTGATACATCCCTGGAGTAGTGGTGATAGAATAACTGGTTAGGGATGACCAACCACGGTGATTGGGGAATACAGGGTTGCTTTGGACGGGATAACAGAACCGGGTGGTAGGGATGACAGGACCCCCACAGTAGGGCTGTCAGGGGTCGGGTGGGAAATGGCTCGTGGTAAATAACGACATTGATCTACTCACCTGATGTCAATTGTATCCATCTAAGAAAGACCACCACAACGAATATCCTGGCACCCGCCATGTTGAGCAGCCAGGAAGTGAAATATCCAGTCAAACTGTATTAAAGGTTACGCCCACTCTGTGCGTGTATGTGTGCGTGTGCGTGCGTGTGTGTGTGTGTGTGTGTGTGTGTGTGTGTGTGTCTGGGTGTGTGTATGTGTGTGTGTGTGCGTGTGTGTGTAAGAGAGAGAGAGAGAGATCAGACATTCCTCAGAAATACGAACATTAGCTCGGGGAAGAGAAAGATACACAGCTTCAGTTTTGAACATTCTAAGGGTACAATGAACGATTGAGTTGAGTATGAACAGCTCGCACCCACTAATGACATTAATGAACAATCACAACCAACATACGTGCAGCATAAATAACGTTATCGCGAGTAAATAGACTGAACCCAGTTCCGTGAGGAAGATAATAAAACGGATTTTACACGCACATATACCATTGTGAATCACATTTTCATGTTTCACAGATGATTCACCGAATCTGTCTAAATCTGTAGAATAGCATTTTCTCTCTCTGCATTGACACAAATTGCAGTAGACCTATTTGAAGCAAACTTGAGTCGAAGAGTGAAGTTTATTTTCAACAGTCTCAGCGTCGTCTCTGCGGCAGAAGTGTGTGGTTCGACTTAACCCAATCTGTCAAATCCGACTTAAACGTCTTACATTTATATCATGGATTTCGTTTAAGTCTATACAATAGTATATCTACCTCGATGATGCTTCTTAATGTCACGGTACTCTGTATTTAAAGATCACTGGTACATCATAAAATGAAGTCATTTTTGTGCATTCCTAACATGGACTCTATCAAAAATTTTTTGTCTGTGTTTGGTGAGACTTGGCCCAAGCGGTTAAAAGCAACTAACAATGGCATGTGCTTGTATTTATAGAATAGCATAATATCTATTTGAACACAACTTTATGGTGTGTAAAGCAAAAACGTTGCTGAAAATTTATTGTCATGTCCGTGCTACACGCCCTTTATGTAATGATACACTCATAAAGTCATTCATTTAATGTCTCTCATTGCTCATGCATAATTCTGTTTGTGATGTCTATAGAATTAGAAAACCGATTAAGCACCCTATGACAGTCAGTTGTGCTATATGCCAGCTCTGTTTTGTACAGTGCATATTGCATTATGTTGAGCATTTGTAAGAGAGATAACGTTGTCAGGCAATAATACCATTCACATTGTTTGGGGGAGGTCCCGACCTTCAACGAGGAAGCCTTCCTCATAGAAAGGTGCATCTAGTTAGACATTTGAATGCTGCATCACATGTTTGTGGCTGTCATGTCATAAATCAAGTAAGTGGCTGTCGTCGCATTCAGTTCAATACCACTGTCACATAGCGTGGAGCACGCCTCTTTCTAATTCATTATACATTTTACTGCCCCTGTGTCAAATATTCTGTATCAGATATAGATATCAAATTATCGTGACTCTCTCAGCTTTTGGCTTTTCAAAACAGTTAAATTTGTGTTTTGTAAACTACCGTCCAAAAGAGAGTATACCTCTAGTTTCGAAATCCAATTAAGAAACAACACAATCGATTTCAACAAAATATGTTTTATATTTCATTAGAGTATCCATTTCTGCATTTCTTGAACATAAACACGATTCAGATATAACAATGATAAAGAAATAAAAAGGAAACAAACACATAGGGTGTCCAAACATGGATCAGAACAATAAAACTGAACAAACAGAAAGTTTTTTCAAAATGCCCCTTACACAATTGAGAGCCATGTACTGCCTCAGTAGCGAGTATGTCCTCCTTGAGCATCGACACAAGGAACAATACGTCGGCGCATGATGACGTCAAGCGTCTAATGACGTTGCGTGGAATCTGTTGCCAGCAGTCAGGCACTGTTCCAGCTGTCGCACGTTGACTGGGGGTACTGGTCTGTTCCTAAACTGCCTGTCGAGGTGGTCGCACAAAAAACGCGATAGGGTTCATGTCTGGTGAACACGCTGGCCATGGTAAGACGTGGACGTTCATGTTGTTCAGGTAGTCTCTTGTCAGGCTGGCGGTATGAGCTCTTGTATTATCATGTTGGAGTGAGTGAGTGAGTTAAGATTTAAAGTCACATCGGCAATATTTCATCAATATCGTGACTAAAACTAGTTCTAAATTCATAATACATACATATAATATATAAAACCCTGTCAGCAAAGGGCAGTAAAACCACTAGATTATCACAGATTGAGTTAAAACTAGCTAGCATATATCTTTAAAAGTACAAAACTATTTTTGGACAATACGATGTAAAAATGGGCTATAGATCGCCAACAACTGAAGGCAGATCATCATACTAGGAACCATGGGGACTTACATTACTTTTGCTACATGCATGGATCCTAGCTGGATTTACACCATCCCTTCAGCCGCTGGCGATTGTAGGAAAATTTAGCCAACAGTTAAAATAACCAAAATACTACGTTTAAAATGTGATAATTTATATTTGACTTTGAAAGTTTTGGGGCTTATGTACCCTCTCAGGAGGACAATATTTTTATGCTACTTCAACCCCCTTTGAGGGTACAGTCACTAACAATCTCAGTTTCTAATCTAACTACCAATAATAACATATTTAGCTATTTACAGATCAGTCAACAAATCTAATTCTTTTAAAAAATCAACTATTGAATGATAACTAACATTATAAAAAAGTTCCTTCAATGTTTTGACATTGAAATGCTTATCCCTTGTGATGGAATATTCAACACAGTCAAGCAGGACATGTTTGACCATGATTCTTTCATCACAAGGGATACAAAACGGAGGATCCTCACCTTTTAATAGGCACTCATGAGTATGTCGTGTGTGGCCAATACGACATCGTCGTATGATGACCTCTTCAAATCTGGACTGACAACCCAAGTAGGTGTAACCGATAGTTGGTTTTATTGCATGTAATTTATTGATACCTACTTGGGTATCCCACTTCTTCTGCATCAGATCACTGATATAAGATCTTATAGCAGCTTTGTAATCAGAGTACGGGATCAGAAGTGGTGTCACAGGTTTGTTGAGTGCTGCCTCGGCAGCAAGATCGGCCATTGTATTCCCAGAAATGCCAACGTGGCTGGGTAACCAACAAAAGACAATGTCGCATTGGCCAGTAGCAAGGTCATTATACAATTCAATAATTTCTAATAAAAGTGGATGTTTACAAGAAAGATTTTTAATAGCCTGAAGACACGAAAGAGAATCGGAAAAGATTATGTATTGTTTATATTTACGGTGTTTATCAATATATTTAAGAGAAGAGATTGTTCTGGATCCAATGACGGTGGCAAAAGCAACCGCACCACCATCCTTGGACCCATCTGTAAATAAGGATTTGTATGTAGTATATTTAGTTTTTAATTGATTAAATTCTTGTTGATATTGTAATTCATTTGTTTCTGATTTTTTAAATGTTGCCAGTGTAAGGTCAACTTGTGGCCACACCAATTGCCAAGGAGGAGAAGAAATAAGACGTGAAGGAGCTATATGTTCTAGCT